GTGACGCTCCTCCTCCTCCTACTGCTCTTCATTGGACTGAGAATCGTGTGGATCGTGAGTACGTATCACACACGTGTCTGTGCTGCGGGTCCTGGGGCTTGAACTCAGGGCCTGGGCGCTGTCCCTGAGCTTTCTCACTCAAGACGAGCGCTCTGCCGTTTGAGCCACAGCTCCACTTCTGTCTCTTTTCATTGGAGATGAGAGTCTCATGAACTTTCCTACTGGAAAGTTCCCAGCTGGCTTCCCAGGGGGATCTGCAGATCTCAGCCTCCTGAGCGGCTGGGATTACAGGCGTAAGTCACTGGCGCTCAGCTCAGAGCCTGGAATTCTGCCTCCGCTCTTTCCCTCACAGTTGGCATTCTACCCCTTAAGCCTCCTGTTTCCTTCTGGTCTTTTTTTTTTTTTTAGTATTCTTTGCACAAAACAACTTTTAAGGTCTTGATATTAAGATGTTACAAGTGTCTTTTTTATCCCCCCCATCCCGTCTCTCTGCCTCTGTCTGTCTGTCTGTCTCTCTCTGGATTTTAGTTTATAAACAGCAATATGTCCAAAAAGAAATTCAGCAAAATGTGTCGCTACAACAAATGGGGATTGACAACAGTTCTGAGAAGATCCAGAGCCTCTCTACCACCGTGCAAACCCTGGCCACCCGGCTCTGCCATGAGCTTCGGAAAAAAGAGCCAGGTAATTCTGTACTACCCTGTGTCTGCTGAAGAGACCAGGAACTAAAGCTATAGAACCTCTGCGTGTGTGTGTGTGTGTGTGTGTGTGTGTGTGTGTGTATTGGGGTCCTGGGGCTTGAACTCAGGGCCTGGGCTGTGTCCCTTGGCTTTGTTGCTCAGGCCGCATGGAGCTCAACCAGATGAGCCACAGCATCACTTCTGCCTTGTGGCTGGATATTGTATGATGAGCGTCTCATGGATTTTCCTGCCAGGCTGGCCTCATCCCCGAAGCCTCCGATCTCAGCCTCCTGAGCAGCTAGGATCACAAGCCTGGGCCACTTGTTCCCTGCTAGAACCATTAAGACAGGAAGTAAGCATAGTCCATGCATTGATGACAGTTCCATACAGTGAGAAGAACATAACAATAACTATATAACACCACGTTAGCAAGTATACTGGTTACGCAAGGGTACTAAGACTATGTGCATTTTCTTTAATCTATACCTTTCTTAAGGTATAAGTAACTCGATTTCTCTAATCTCAACTTGCTTAAACTTTTTTTTATCGTTATATATGTTATGTAAAATCTCAATTTACTGTGAGGCTCAGTGGATGATAGATAGGAAAACACACTTCTCTACAGATGGTCTCAGTTCAGAATTTCAGTCAGTAGAAGCCGGGCACTGGTGGCTCACGCCTGTCATCCTGGCTACTGAAGAGGTTGAGTTCTGAGGATCATGGTTCAAAGCCAACCCATGCAGGAAAGTCTCCAGACGTGGAGTTGAGGCTCCAATGTTAGAGATTCACCTTTGAGTGAAAAAAGGTAAGGGAAAACAAGAGATTCTGAGCTCAAACCTCAGAACTGGCACAAAATACCATGAAAGAATGACCAGCAGAAAACACAGGAATCTTGCTCACTGTCCCAGAGATGCGAGGATACAGCAAGAAGGCTGAACATCTAGTCACATACAACGCTTTCCTTCCAGAGCACAAATGTAAGCCTTGTCCGTGGAATTGGCTGTGGCACGCAAACAGATGCTATCTTCTGTATTATGTTCCCGACACCTGGAAAAACAGTGAAAAGTTATGTGCAGACCGCAATGCCAGCCTGCTGAAGATTAACAACAAGGACACACTGGTGCGTCTCCCGGTCTCTCTCTCAGTAAGAAAGGAAATCGCGTTTCTATCACAGAGTAAGAAGAGGTCGCTGAGCACTGGTGGCTCACGCCTGTCATCCCAGCGACTCAGGCGGCTGAGATCTGAGGGTCACGGTTCAAAGCCAGCCTGGGCAGGAACGTCTGTGAGACTCTGATCTCCAATGAAATCACTGGAAAACCAAAAGTGGAGCTGGGGCTCAAGTGGTAGAGCGCCAGCCTTGAGCAAAAGAGCTCAGGGACAGCGCCCAGGCCCTGAGTTCAAGCCCCAAGACTGGAAGTTCTTTTACCCTTTCTAGAAGTGGTGAAATCTGTTAAGTCTTTCTCATTGGATCTCTCTCAGCTGGTTCACAGGTAGTTACAGACTCAACAAAATGTAGTTAGGAGGAATGAGAACCAAATATGAGTTTTTGGTTCCACTATTTTGGATTGTTTCTGAGATCCCTCTTACACTGACCTGGTCTTATTTACTAGATTGCTTTCTTCCTTCCTTCCTTCCTTCCTTCCTTCCTTCCTTCCTTCCTTCCTCCCTTCCTCCCTTCCTCCCTCCCTCCCTCCCTCCCCCCCTCCCTCCCTTCCTTCCTTCTTTCCTTCCTTCCCTCCTTCCTTCCTTCCTTCTTTACTTCCTTCCTTCTTTTCTTCCTTCCTTCCTTCTTTCCTTTTTTGTGTGCCAAACTTGGGACAAGAACTCAGGGCTTTAAATGCCACCTGAACACACATGCACACCTACACACACACAGACACAGACACAGACACACACACACACACACACACACGATGCAATTTTGAACATGCTGTTTTAAAGCAATCATTTGAATGGTGATACACAGTAGTACGGACAGAGACCATTATTGCTGGGCTTGAACTCAGGGCCTGGGCACCGTCCCTGAGCTCTTTTGCTCCAGGCTGACACCCCCCATCAGCCCTGGGTCCCCTTCTGGCTTGTTTGTGTTTCTGGTGGTTCCCCGGAGGGAACAGTCTCCAGGACTTTCCTGCCCCTTCTGACTTTGAATCGTGATCCTCAGACCTCAGCCTCCGGAGTAGCTCAGGTTACAGCATGAGCCACCTGCGCCGCCCAGAGATCATGTTGCAAGGGGAGCGCGTTTGTCTCTTAGGAGTTTGTGAAGTCCCAGGAGCTGTATGACTACTGGCTTGGCGTTCCTCCCAGACAGGACAACAGGAACTACGCCACCGCGAACTGGCGCATTACGTCTGCTATCTGGTACGCTCCTGTTCTTTCTTTTATTGCTTTAAGTCTATTTTTTAACACTATGTTTTCCTCAGGACGATTGTAGAGTGTGGGAATACCTTTCTCACACCTGCTGGGTCAGGCTTCTTTCAAGGATTTAATCAGGCAAAATAAGTTCACACAGCCAGGTGCTGGTGGTCACGCCTGACATCCCAGCTACTCCGGAAGGTGAGATCTGAGGATCCCAGTTCAAAGCCAGCTCTGACAGGAAAGCTCGAGACACGTATCTCCCAGAAGTTAACAAAACACGCAAGATGTAGAGCTGTGGCTCAAGTGGTAGAACACTAAACGTTAGCACAAAATCTCTGATCTAGGGTCCAGGCCCCAAGTTTAAGATCCAGTACCAACACACACACACACACACACACACACACACACACACACATTCACAGATATCCACCTTTTGTGAAGTCACTAACAGTAGCCTAATTATAGAGATTTTCTTTTCTTGGTTTGCTTTTCCCTGGGCATAAACTCAGGGCCTGGCAGCTGCTCTGGGCTTTTGGGCTCAAGGCTGGTGCTCTATCACTTAAGCCACAGCTCCACTGCTAACCTTTTGGTTTGATTTAATTAAACAGAAGAGTTTCATAGCGTCTCCTGCCTGGGTGACTTTGAACCCTGGTCCTCAAGATCTCAGTTTCCTGAATAACACAAATGCTCAAGATGGCTCCCTTCATACTAGTCAACATCCATGTGTGAAAATGGAAACAGGGAATGTGGGAGGAGGGGTGGGGGAGTATGGGGAGAAGGATGAGGGGTGAGATGATCCACGTTCGTTGTACTCATAGACGGATGGGTTAAACTGAGATCCTCTTCACAATCCAGTATCTCAACATGAACAACGCAGACCTTAAGGACAATAATGTCAGGTCGCAGACATCATCTTTGTGTGTGTCTGTTTCTAGTCTTTGACTTCTTAAGTATTGTCCTGTGTTTCCTCTTTCAGGTTGAAGAGCAACACCAGCGGCTTCAAGGGAAAGTATTGTGGATATATGACTTACGACATGTACATTTTTTATGATTTCTGTTCTATAAAGAAATATGCAATGTGTGAGAAAATGGCTGACCCGGTGCGGGTGGAAAGTGTGCTAGGTTAACGTTCAAGAAGAAAGCCTGTCTGAGTGAAAATATACAAATAAATCAATAAATAATAATACACGACAAATCACTTCCTTCAGATCACATCCTGCAGTGGATGCGAGCGTGTGTCTCCTGGATCACACAAATAGAATAAAAATTCCCCAACCATATTTCTGCTTCTCAGAACATTTGTATCTCTCTATGTTCATCTTGTTCCTGATTTACTGAGCGTAAGAAAACAAGTCCTGGCCAGGTACTAGTGGCTCACTCCTGTAATACTAGCTGCTCAGGAGGCGGAGCTCTGAGAACTGAGGTTCAAGGTCAGTCCAGGCTGTCTTCAGTGAGCCAGCAAAAGCTGGAAGCAGAACTCTGACTCAAGGGGTAGAGCACTATCCTTGAGTTTAAAAAGCTCAGGGACAGCGTCAAGGCCCTGCGTTCACGTGCCAGGAATGGCACATAAACAAGAAAGGATGTCAAGTTGGAACTTCAGCCTACAGTCCAGATTCTCAGCATCAAGACAATCTTTCCTTATGAAATCTAGCATTGTGTTTTATGGACTGACTTACCGTTGACGGTCAGGGGGTTGGAGGTCAGGGCCTGGGCGCTGGCCTGTGCTTTTTCACTCTGTTAGGTTAAGCCTTTGATCTGCTTCTGGTGGTTCATGGACTTTCCTGGCTAGGCCCCCATCCAATCCCAGCCTTAGATCTCAGCCTCCTGAGTAACCAATATTACCAGCATGAGCCACTGGGCCTGACCGAAATCCAGAGTTTTCAATTAAGTGTTCTTCCTGCTTTTCCACAGATCCACCTGGAAATTTTCAACCTTCTAGAAAACCAGAAAATATTAAGTCCAGCAACATATACATATGCCTATGTACACCATAACCAACTTGGATTTATTCTCATGAAACAGGTTCATTAACAGCTTGAAAAAAAACGAGATGGGGGAAATCATCATTCCAGGAGATGTAGGAAGAGCTTTTGCTGAGCAGAATGTTAGCCAAACATAACATTTTTTGTGTGTCGGTCCTGGGGCTGGAAGTCAGTGTCTGTGCATTGTCCTGAGATTTGTTTACTCAACGCTAGCACTCTACCACCTGAGCCACAGTGCCCCTGTGGTAAGTCGTTTACTGGAAATCTACCACATTTCTGCATATCAGGATTGAATAATTGGAAAATAAACTTAAAGTGCGATACTTCTTGAACAGAAGGTGTGGCTCACGTGGTACAGCTCCAGCCTTGAGTACAAGGATCAACTGAGAGAGCAAGGCCCTGAGATCAAACCCCAGGACCAACACCACACACACACACACACACACACACACACACACACACACACACCACACACAGGGGCAGGTGGAAGATATGGTCCAAATCCAGGGTGGACCTTATGTTATAGCAGGTAAGTCCATGAGACTCTTATCTCCATTAACTCCCAAGCAGCTAGAAGTGGAGCTGGGGCTCCAATGGTGGAGGTCTAGCCTTGCACACAAAGGCTCAGGGACAGCATCTCAGGCTGCAATCCCTAGGAAACACTTATACACACCCCAATAAAACACCACCACCAGCACGAGGCACTAATGTGTGAGCTAGGAGCTGGTGGTTCATGCCTGCGACCCTAACTCCACAGAAGGCTGAAATGTGGAGGGTCCCCATTCAAAGCAAACCAAGGCAGAGAAGTTCTCCAAACTCCACCTCTAGCTAACCAGCCAAAGGCTGGACTGGAGTCCTGACTCAAACCCGGCAGAGCAGCAGCCTCGATCCAGAATGTGGAGCAAGAGTGGGTGGCCTTGAATTCAAACCCCAGCAAAAAACCCCTAGATCCTGCAGTGGTCATATGAAGTGATAAGAAAGAGGAAGAGAGGCTGGTGAAGAGAAATGTTTCCTAGGCCACAGTCACGCAGTCCTGCCCGAGATCCCTGATGAGCAGTTTATCAGCTTGGCTGTTGAGCAACATTCAGGCTGGTGAAACGAGACTTCTGCTAGTGATCACCAAGAGTCCACTTCCACATTCTGTCCAGTGTTCCATGCTCAGCTCTCCCTTCCCCCAACAGCAGCATTTCCTTCCATGTGCTTTCCAGACTCCTTCATGTGTGAAGAGGGAGCGACTCACACTGATGTGAACGACCAGAACTCGGGAAAGATAGAGAAGTTGGACAAAATGGAGACCAATGTAAACATTTTGAGTTATGAATTGCAGTAGGGAGAGTGACAAACATGAGACTGACCAGCTGGGCAGGTGGCTCAGTGGCAGAGCGCTTGCCTTGCATGCCTGAGCCCCTGGGTTCGATTCCTCAGCACCACATAAGCAAAAAGAAAAAAGCCGGAAGTGGTGCTGTGGCTCAAGTGGTAGAGCGCTAGCCTTGAGCTGAAGAGCTGAGGGACAGTGCCCAGGCCCAGAGTTCAGGCCCCATGAAGGACCCAAAAAAAAAAAATTAGACTTAAGTCTTAGGGTTCCGTGACTGGTTAGACATATTATTTGAATTTTTGATTAACTCCCCCAAATGCTTTTATCTTTTTTAAAGCACTGGTTTGAAATCATTTATAATCAATCAATCCTTTATAACTGTTGTACTTGGAATATTACAATCAAGGTATAAGATGGTGTTTTGAAATTGGACAAAGTGTTCCATTTCTGTGGCTCAAGATTATAGGTTGTCCAAGAAAGCCACCTTTTAATTTATTTGTTTATTTTCTTTTTCATTTCATTTGTGTAAGACAGAGAGAAGAGGCTGGAAATGTTGGGAGAGAGAGAGACATGGACACAGACAAAGATGGACAGAGAGACAGAGAGTGAGTCAGAGAGAGACAAACGGACAGAGAAAGACAGAAAATACAGACAGAAATTAAATTTCATGTATCTCTTCTTCGTGGTTAGAGTGATTTTGACATCAACTCTGACATGTAAGATGGATTCCTGTGTTCAGAATGGCGGTTAGACGATCACGTTTTACTAGAATACATTTATTGGAAGTAACCTTCACCTACCCACATGGATGAGGATAAATATCCCGAAATGAGTTAAGAATAATCCACCTTGGGCTGGGAGTGTGTGTGTGCGCGTGCACATGTGCGTTATTCCTGGGGTTTGAACTCAGAGCGTGGACGCTGCCCTGAGCTTTTGTGGTCAAGGCTACTATTGGAACCACAGCTTCCCTTCTAGCAGTTTAACTGGAAGTAAGCATCTTAGGAACTTCCCTGCCCCTCTGTGTGTATGTACGTAGTAAGACTTGAACTCAGAGCCTGAACACTCTCTCTTGGCCTTTGTACTAAAGACAGGTCCTACTTCTTGAGCCACAGTAGCACTTCTGTCTTGCTGCTGATAGTTTAGACAGGAGTCTCAGGCATGTTTCTGCATACACTTATGACTTCCAACTACGGCATTGAGTCGCTGGTGTCTGGCTATTCTAGAAACTCTTGGTCCCATTTCTTGACTGTCATCCGAATATTGCTTAACCCTGATGGCTTTGGGATTCCTCTGATTTTCCTTAATCTGCTTTTCAGGTTTTTAGTATGCCTTGCAGTGTGTAAATTCATCTGAACCTTTGGGGGTTTCAGGTGCAATGCCTGTTGGTAAGGACCATGTGTCCTGATCCATCTTGTCTCCCAACTCTTCCCCCACCCCTCACCTCAAGATCTCTGGGCGGTGAGTGTCATGGTTGTGTTTGCCTCTTCCTCTCTCCATTTATCTGCCCCCTCTCCAAGGTCCCTCCCAAGTCATGCTCCAGCATCCTGGTGACCATAAGCTCACTGTTCAACGGACTCACACCACTGAAATCATCCCAGGCACATTCATGTGTGCTCACGGAAAGGAATGTGTTTTAAAGTCAATAAAGTAGCAGCTGCTTTAGAAAGCCAGATAGTAAAACTATACACTAAAACAGCCTCTACACAAGAACTTCTAAAATACAGACAGGAAAAACAACTGTGGGTCAGTCTCTGAGGGCTCACACCTTTAATCCCAGCTCCTTGGGAGGCTGAGATCTGAGGATTGAGGTTCAAAGCCAGCCCAGGCAGGAAAGTCCATGAGACTCCCATCTCCAGTGAACCACCGGAAGTGGCACTGTGGCTCAAAGCGGTAGAACGCTAGCCTTGAGCAAAAGAGCTCAGGAACAGCGCCCAGGCACCAAGTTCAAGACCCACAAATGACCAAACGAAAACAAAAGCATCTTAGAAATAGGATTAATGCCTCTTTTTCATTTGCTCTGTTGTTGTTGTTGGCCGTTTTTATGCCAGTGCGAGGGTTTGAACACTGGAACCAGGGTCTCTCCCTGACAGGTTTATGCTCAAGGCTGGCACTGTACGACTTCAACCACAGCTCTACCTCCAGCTTTTACGTGGTTCACTGGAGATGAGTCTCACAGACTTTTCTGCCCTAGCTGGCTGAGAACCACCATCCTCAGATATCAGCCTCCTGAGTCGCTAAAACTACAGGATTGAGCCACTGGCACCCAGTCCATCTTATTTTTTTCCACTCAGGGTCTGGACGCTGTCCCTGAGCTTCTTTTGCTCAAAGTAGTGCTGTAAAACTTGGGGGCTCCCAGTTCAAAGCCAACCAAGGCAGACAAGGCCTCCAAACCCTACCTCTAGCTAACAAGAAAAAGGCTGGCCTGGAGGCCTGACTCAAGTAGTAGAGCACCATGCTAAAGCAAGAAAGTACAGCCAGAGCAGATGGGCTTGAATTCAAACCCCAGAACCAGCAGAAACACAGCAAACCGAGCTTCTGCAGAAGGCATGTGTAGAGATAAGAAAGAGGAAGAGAGGCTGGTGAAGAGAAATGTGTCCTCTGCCACCGTCACGCAGTCCTGCCCGAGATCCCTGACGAGGATCTGATCAGCTCGGCTGGGTTAGACACAGGGTCAGCTGGGGAAGGGCGGCGGCTGCTGCCGATCCCAAAGACTCAGCGTCCACCTTCTGTCCAGCGTCCAACAGTCAGCTCTGCCTTCTAACAACCGCATTTCATTCCACCTGCTTTCCACGTTCCTCCATGTCTGAAGAAGAAATTATATACGCTGATCTAAACTTCCAGAACTCGGGAAAGACGGAGAAGATCCAGGAGTTGGATCAAGTGAAGACAAAAGGTATGAATGTTGAGTTGGGAGTGTGTGGTACGGTGCGCGATGAAAACAAGACTTCCACCTTGGGGCTCAGTGAGTGGAGGGGGTTATTAGTCACTTTGAATGTTTAATTACGCCTCCCCAAATGCTTCTAGCTCTTTTATTCAAACACTGGCTTTGTGAAATCACACAACCACCAATCACTTGTAAATGTTCTAATTTGAATATTATGATCAAGGTAGAGGAAAGTGTTCTGAAATTGTACAAAGTGTCCACTTCTGTGGCTCACGATTACATGCTGTCCAGGAAAGCCATCTTTGAATATATTTTGTTATTTTATTTTTCACTTCATTTTGTAAGCGAGAAAGAAGAGGGAGACTGGAAAGGTCTGAAGAGAGACAGGGGACAGACAGAGATGGATAGAGAGATAGAGACTGAGGCCGAGAGAGAGAAAGAGCCAGAAAAAGACATAAAGAAGTGGACAGACAGGGACAGAGAAAGACAGACAGGCAGATGGACATAGGGACAGAGGCACACAACGAGAGATAGACACAAAGAGACAGAGGGTCTGAGAAAAAGAGGTAAAAGCCAAAGAGAGAGAGAGAGAGAGAGCACCAGAAACAGAAAGACAGACAGACGGACAGAACAATGAAGAAAGAGATCTGATATTTTTACTATCTGTAATTTTCTCTCCAGTGTTGATTTGAATTATCCAAAGGCTGCAAGCTGTGTGACTGTGTGTGTGTGTGACTGTGTGTGTGTGATTGTGTGTGTGATTGTGTGTGTGTGTGATTATGTGTGTGTGTGTGACTGTGTGTGTGTGATTATGTGTGTGTGTGTGTGACTGTGTGTGTGTGTGCATTGAACAATGCACCCTGTGGCACACATGAACACATGCACATGCGTTTGCCAGTGTTTGCCACTGCTGGGGCTTGAACTCAAGGCCAGAAGCTCTCACTTGAGTTTTTCTGCTCTAGGCTGGCGCTCTTCCGCTCGAGCCACAGCTCCACTTCTATCGTTTTTGCTGGTTCATGGGAAATAAAATGTCTCATGGACCTTCCTGTCTGGGCTGGCTTTGAATCACGATCCTCTGATCTCAGTCTCCTGAGTACCCGAGATTACAGGCGTGAGCTACCGGTGCCTGGCCTAAAAGCAACTCTTGAATTGATCATTCTGACCTAAGTGAAAATCTTGACTTTCTCATTCTTTTCCGTGAAGGTCATTTTCCTCCATCGAAAGAAATGAAGTTTCATAATCGTTTTTCAGTTCTGTCTGGTTACAGTGACTTCGGTATCAACTCTGAGGTCTAAGAAGGATTACCTGGTGGTTACTCTACCTTGTTACTAGAACACAACCTCTTCCAGATATCCTAGCAGTGAAAAGCAGCATCTGCTGTGGTTAGATTGGTTGATGGTCGCCATTCTAAGGGGGGTGAGGTGCTGGCTCCGTGCTGTGTGGATTTGCATTTCTTTCATGGCCAGAGAAGCTGAGCATGGCTTCCTGTCTCTCTGGGCCATTCTTCTTTCCTCTGTTCTTGTTTACTTCCAGCTTGGCCAGAGGTGACCTAAGGCTTGAAGATCAGCCTTTCCCCTGCCTCAATTCCACCTGCTTCTCTCTCTCTCCTTCGCTGCCAATTTAATTTACCTCACATTTAATGGGGCAGTTGATTCTTGAGGATTTGTTTTGTGGGGGGGTTTAATTTTTGGAGCTCTAAGTGCAGAGCATCTTGATCAGTGGATATCATTTTCATGTCCTAGGGTGTCTAACGAAGTCTTTTACAGGTTGCATCACAGGAAAGGAAGAAAAGCTAAATGAAGGAACGAATGACATTGTAGGAAGGAATGGAACTGAACGCTGTTTTTCTCTTCTGTGTTCCACAGCGCCTCCGGTGTCTTCCCATGTGTGGGTTAGAGCAGCTTTGGGTCTGACTCTCCTCTTCCTTCTACTGTTCTTCGTTGGACTAGGAATCTTGGGGGGCCTGAGTACGTATCACCCAGTTTTTGTGTGTGCTGCTGGGCCTAGGTCTTGAACTCAGGGCCTGGCGCTGTCCCTGAGCTTTCTCACTCAAGACTAGTGCTCTACCACTTGAGCCGCAGCTCCACTCCCAGGTTCCTGGTGGTTCATTGGAGGTGAGGGTCTCAGGGACTTTCCTGCCCAGGCTGGCTTCCAACTGGGATCCTCAGATCTCAGGCCTCCTGAGCAGCTGGGATGACAGGCGGGAGTCACGGCGCCTGGCTCAGAGCCTAGTGCTCCTGCTTAGCTGTTAGTCCTCACAGTTGTCTTTCTACCACTAAAGACATGTCTCCTCGTCCCCTTTTGGTCTTTTTTTAGTATTAAAAAAAAACAAACAACTTTTGAGGTCATGATACTGAGGGTTTACAAGTGTCTGTTTTGATTGTCTCTCTCCTCTTCATGTGGAGTTTATAAAAAGCAAAATGTCCAAGAAGAACGTCAGACAAAGGTGTTTCTACAACAAGTGGATAACGTCAATTGTTCTGAGAAGATCCAGAACGTCTCTATGGCCCTGCAAACCCTGGCCACCCGGCTGTGTCTGGAGCTCCAGGAAAAAGAGCCAGGTAATTCTGCAGGGCCCTGAGGGCGGCTTATGGGACCAGGAACGGAAGCTTAGAGTTGTACCCCACACCTCCCGCGCCTGCAGGTGACGGTTCAGTCCCTCAGCCTTTTAGTTCTAGGCTCCATGGAGCTCAGCCAGCTGAGCCACAGCTGCACTTCCAGCCTGTGGATGATTCTGTGGACCTGAGAGGCTCACGGACCTTCCCGCCTGGGCTGGCTTCGAACCTTGATCCCCTCAGCTCAACCTCCTGAATAGCTGGGATTACAGACCTGAGCACCTGGTGCCCGGCCTACACCCACTGATTAAGGAAGGATTGAAGCATAGTGCATGCATTGCTAACAGATCCACATAGCTAAAAGACAATCCTAACATAGTTATAACTACACAACCCCCAAATATCCAGGAACAATGTTTATGCAAGTGTGTTAAGGCTGGGAGCCAGTGGCATATTTCTGTAATCCCAGATACTCAGGAGGCTGAGATCTAAAGATCCCAGTTCAAAGCTAGCCTGGGCAGCAAAGTCCATGAGAGTATTATCTCCAATAAACCACTCAGAAAAATGGAACTGGTGCTGTAGTTCACGTGGTAGAGCGCTCACCTTAAGTTGAAGAGCTCAGGGACAGTGCCCAGGCCCAGAGTTAAAACCCCAGGACTGAAAAAAAAAAAAAGAGTATTAAGACTATAAGCATTTTCTTTATTCTGCAGTTTTACTAAGGTTTGATTAGATCAAATTCTCTAATCAGAATTTATGTTTTAAAGATTTTTTCATATTACAATAAAAGTTGGGTAAAATCTCAATTTGTTATTAGGATTAGTAAATGATAGATAGGGAAACACACTTCTCTATAGATGGTGTCGGTTCAAAATTTCAGTCAGTAGAAGCCGAGCACTGGTGGCTCACGCCTGTCATCCTAGCTACTGAAGAGGTCGAGTTCTGAGGATCATGGTTCAAAGCCAACCCATGCAGGAAAGTCTGTGAAACTCTTCTCTCCAGTTAATCAGCAAAACTCCAGAAGTGGAGTTGAGGCTCCAATGGTAGAGGATCAGCTTTGAGTGAAAAGCTAAGGAAGAGCAGGAGATCCTGAGTTCAAGCCCCAGAACTGCACAAAATAAGATAAAATAATGACCCGAAGAAAACACAGTGAACTTGGTCAATGTACCATAGAGATGACAGGAAATAGCAAGAGGCTGAAGATCTATTCACATAAAAGGACGCTTT